GTGGTAAACTGGAGGTAGGAGCAGTGACGGCAGTAGGTAAAGGTTTCGCGCGGACAGTGGCGGTTGACGGGACGGCTTGCGTCGGGAAGTCAACGTTGCTGTCCCGGATGAAGGACGAAGGATACGCCGTGGTCGTGGGAGACTACGCGGAGGATTGCGGGAGGCACCCGCTATTCCGGGGCAAGGCCCAGGATAAATTCCTGGAATTAGCTTATTTTAGTTATCAGTGGGGGAAGCTGTGGCCGAACCACGTCCACGACCGGGGTCCGTCATGGCCGGCGAGCGTACCCTGGAGGAGGCCCGGAGGGTCATCCGGGAAACGCCAGCGGGTGTCTGGGCACCCCTGTCCAGCATCCGGACTATTATCTTATTGGAGGATGACGCGGAGGAAGCCGTCGCACGGATGCGACGGCGCGCAAACGGTATCGATACCATGTCGACCCGATACGTGGTGGTGCAGAACGAGGTGTTCGCAACGCTGGCCGAGCGCGTCGGGGCGTGCGTGCTCCACCACCGGAAGGGGCAAGACATGGGAGAGTGGGCCGCGGAGGTGCGCGCGTGCATTGTGCAGGTAGGCGCCGGTTCCGGGGGGAGGGATAATATGAAGGACGACGAAAATGTAAGGTAAGAACCGGGCACCCACGGGCACGACGCGGAAACCCCGGGAAACGGCAGTTAATTAAGGTGCCGCCCGGGGGCCGGGTCCGCGTGGTCGGCATCAAGGTTATTATCGGTAGTTAGAATGGGGGTTTTTGGGAAAGGGGGATTTTTAGAAAAAACGTAGGAGTAACTGTAGACGATGCGAGAGTTTGTAATGATCTCAAATTACATGGCGACAGCTACTGGATCCATCCATGCGTGGATGGGTCTGGTTACCAACACCCTCGAGAGGAGGCTGTACCAGGGCGTCATCATCGTGATGGCCCTCTGGATCGCGAAGGCCTACCTCGGGAGGCTGACAAGGAGCGCGGGCCGGGGGGCTAAGCCGGTCACGGCCCTCCTCGGAGTGCCCGTCGCGTGGGCCATGTGGTCCATGGGACTGCGGGTGGACGCCACGGTGCGCCACTTCGTGGCTACCACCGTCACCACCATGTGCGCGCAGATGGTGACGGGGGCCATATGGTCAATTTTCGGCAAAAAGAGTAAAAAAGGGGCACGGGCCGATCCACCCCCAATGGAGATGTGGGCGCGGAT